AAAGAAGACACCGACTCCAAAATTTTGAGTTGCTATAGTAAAATAATTAAATTTGAGTTGAGTTGGATTGAGATTTAAAACGGTAAAGAACCGACTTAAGAGTGACTAGTATATGAATTGAATGGGCTATATTGTAGGGTTGGGCCGGACATATTGTTGGGCTCAATAGACTGGCCCATAGATAAAATATTCAAAATATTAATATTTTAGTATTTAATTAGACTCCTTAGCCATATTTTCAGTTAAATTTTAAATTTTAAACTTACGATATTCAACAATTTTCAAGTTTCAATTAAATCTATATTCAAAACTTCATACTCATTTGTGATAAAAATTATATTTTCATTGTTATTGGATCTTAATTAATGATATCACGCGATCCCATAATTACTTTCACATTTGTTATTTTTTTTTCTCGATGACTTCGATTTGTTTTTCTAAAGCTATGGATCTTTTGGAAACAATTGTATACCATTAATATTATTATGACGTTTGGAAACAATTGTATACCGTTAATATTATTATGACGTTTGTGATTTTACAACGAAAGCCTCCAAAAAAATTCATAATAAAAAATGAAAAATTCATAATAAAAAATGCGGTGAACGTGGATCGAACACGTGACCTTCAGATCTTCAGTCTGACGCTCTCCCAACTGAGCTATCCCCGCTTGTTGTTTTACATATGAAATAAAAACTTCAACAAATCTGTTTGAGTCATAGGTGTGGAGTCAATAAATAAAAATATATTTGAATCAATCTATGAAGAATATTTGGTTAAAATCTGAAAGAAATAAAAAGATTAACTAAAGTTGAAGTAAAATATGAATATCTAGAAGTTGATAGTTTATGTATGTTTATGTTTTAATCAAATCATACCACATCAAATTGCTTAACACAATTGGAGAATTAGTAGCAAAAAGCTCTAAATTGTTAGGTTGTTTATGTAAACGAAAGATAGTTCTTTATTTACCTGTCATGTACGAATTCAGATTTGATCAAACCTCCACGGATATCGAATTTTAAAAAAAAAGTTAATTCATTCTTATTGATTCTAAACTAAGAAGACAAAGCAATAGGAATATAATTGGAAAGTTCCCACTTCCTACTATTCTACATAGTATTCCTTTCATGTACTTGGAACATTTTTGCTCCAACAATTTGGAGTTTGGACCATCAAGGGTTACAATAACTTTTTTCTACTTGCAGAGGGTATCTTTTTTTTTATTGATTAGTTCGAGTTCGTTCGAAAGAATTTAGGGTTCTGTATCAAGAAGAATTATTTTATTTGTACTCAAACCTAAGATTTGTTATTAAGAATGAACGAACTTGATGCTGTTATATCATATCTTTTATTGATGAACAAAGACGAATACAAAATTTTGAGTTCATAACTCTGCAATATAAAAAATATTATTTAGTCAATATTAAATAAATTATTTTTATACATATGATTTTCTTAATACAATACAAGGTTTGTTTAAATTTATTAAATTCTATCAAAATTCGTAGTTCGAATACTAATTTACATGAATAAAAAAATTTCAGTGTTCGAATCAAAACACAAATTTCTACATAGAAGTAAAAACACACTATATTTTCCTCTTTATAATCATTATATATATATATATATATAAACAATGTTAAATAAAACAACAGAACAAAGAGTAAACAAAATCCACTCTTTTTTTTCACAATATTTTTCCCTTTTTGTACACAATTCAACATTTCTCAATTTTCCAAATTCACAAATCTGAATTTTCTTTCATATATTCATCGTCAAGATTTCATCTTTACCTGAAACAGAGTTTTATCCATCCGAAAGAAACTAAAACTATTTCAATATATCTCGAGTCTCAACATATCTGGTAAAGTTTTTTCACGTATCCAATACTCGATGAAAACAATAAAAAGACCCTCGTAGTCCGATTCTTTCTTGAACCTCGTAATTGCAGAAAGCTTAGTACGCCGACCTGCGTCTTTTCTCTTCTTATTCAACACATCAGGAAAAAAAGAACCAATTTTTACAGATTTCATAACTCCATATCTGAAATTGAGATTTACCCATTTGAAAGGGGCAAAAAGGGAGTATATCTGAAGTTTCAATTTTCACAAATATACACAAAAGATCGAATCTTTTTTTTTTTTTGCACAATTAATCAGCAACAGAATGACTCTGCCAGCATAAAAGCATGATAATACAACGTCTGAGTATGTAAAATCTTGTTTTCTGTTGTTTCACCATAGTCAAAGATCGTTGCCGGAATCCAGATTTCCGGCAGGTTTGCCGGCGAGAATCCGATGAGGGAAAGAAAAACGATGAAAGGCTCATTGGCGGCTCAACAGAATAGAAAAGTTTGTTTGGAGAAGTAATAGAAATGAACAATAAATTTGTTTGTTTTTATAGGCTTAAGATTTTAGCCATCTTTTTGTTTTTTATTTTTGTTTTTTCATGGTCCCATAAAAGAGCTTTTATTTTATTTTTGTCTTTTGTAATCGAGATAGATATTTTATTTATTAAATATGAAAAATTATATATATATATATATAAGCAAATATATATTAGTTAATATAGTTATAGTTTCAATTAATTATCATTTGTCACTAATTTTTTTCATAAGGCCAAGTTTGAGTTTATAAACGTGTGTATTAGTACAATTTTTGTATAACTGTTCGAAATTCAGATGTTTGTGTTTGTATGAATTCGTTATTCTGTATTTTATCATATTTGTATAATTTCATAATTTGTATAACTGTTGTTGCTTGTATAACTGTTAGAAATTCAGATGTTTGTATTTGTATAAATTTATTTTTTCGACTTTTATCATATTTTTGTATAATTTAAAAATTCGTATGATATAATTTGTATAACACTTGTTACTACTCCGTTTTTAACAACAACAGACGAAAATAACTCATTTATACAAATACTTATTCCAAAAAAACTACAATTATTAGTCGATTCAATCAATCGAAAAGAATTACAAAAATAAATACAAATACACGTTAATTATGTAAACATGCCCATAATTTATGCAAACAAGGTTGTCATCAGTATAACAACTTAATATATAGCTATGATTCGTATATATGCAAACTATGACTAAGGAACCTAATTAGGTTTATAGTGGCTATTTGCTAAATTTTCTCTTTATTTTATGTGATATTATTAAATCATATTGGAACGAAAATATACAAAGATGGAGAGATTAATAATAATATATCACATTTAAAATTTATTAAAAACGAGCGAAATAGAGGCTCACATTTTAAATATTGTGTGATAAGAAAGTAACGTTCTAGGCCTAGGGAAAAGTTTCATAGAAGGCAGTTCGATCAATATTAGTGTATTAGTTCATTAAGGATCGATATCGTTCTTTGGAGTTTTTGAATCGTGAAAAAATAATTCAAAATCAATTCAATTATTCTTGTATATTATTAGTCTTCAATTTTTTTGCCTCATAAATATTTTTTAATAAGTTATATTTTTAAAAAATTTTACCAAAAAATAAAATAAAATTTGTGGCCTCTCATTGATTGCAAGAGGTTTTTTTCTCTAGTGTTGTTTGTGGGGCCAATGAAACCAAAATCATAGAATCTGCCTACCCCTAATCTTATCCTACTAATTGACTTTATCTTTATTTTATTTTATTTTTTTTTGAATATACAGCATATATACTCTTTTTTAAATTTAATTTCTCTAAAATAAAATATTATTAATTTAATTAATTTATTATTTATCTGATCAAGTAGATATTCTTGAGTAGACTTTATCATCATCAACTATAATAAACTATATATAAACAAAAATCTTCACGTGTTTTACTTTTTAAGGTAACATAATATTTATAATAATATTTTTTACAAATTAAATGCGACAAAGTCTAGTTAGTATTTTCTCTATCATTAATAAGATATTTCGAATTTGAGTTTTTTTAAGTACGAAATTATCTTTGTTAGGAGGCGTTTTTTATATGAGATTTTTCGATGCAAATCTAAAATTAGTTAGACTCCAAATATTAGTATCAAATACCAGATGAGAAATAAAAAAAAAAATTTAAATGTGATTTAAAAGATCAATCAATGATTAAAATAAAACGAAAGAATTCTACTTGTCTATGTAGACTAGCAAATTCAAAGTTTTGGTGAAACTTGAAAATGATAACTAAGTATTTTTTTGCTTTATTGTTTTTTGATACATTATTCATTGTATTTGCATGTTAATAATAAATGTTTTATTTGCAAATAATAAATATATAATTGAATTATGTCACGTTTTTCACTAAATGTTTTTTAAAATAAGGTGTTACCTAATGAAATTTCATACCTACCTATTTAATGCTTCTAGATGAAGCCTTGTTACAAACATAAATAATTTTTATTTTAGAAAATGGTCAAACACTAGCCCAAATATTTTGACTAATACATTCTTTTAAAAAAAATAATAATAATAAAAGTGACAAAAATATTTGTGGTTAAATTCATGTTCTTCTTGACTTCTCCAAAATGTTTTATTTTGTTTTTAGTTTTGTAGCTTCTAAGATGAATGAATCGCGGATGATAGTGACAAAGTTTGAAATTTCGTTTAAAATATTTAAAATTTAATATACATATATAAAAAATATATTTTAATCTATATATTTTGTAAAAAAATTTAACTGATCATCTTGTATATGATTATGCCGCTGGTGGAGGAGATTGACAAAAATGTATCGTATCTACCACTCATCGAATGTCAAATATTGTACATGGAAAAATATGGTACATAGTGAACAAGGTAAAACTCCCGCTCCTATGCAATAGCTTGCAAACCATATAGGAGAAGTAACCCGCACTGGGCTCGACCCAGAAAGCAAACCTCTTGCTTTCGTTGGCAAGGGGTTTCGAACTTGAGAGTTGAGACCTCCGAGATGGAAGTCTCAAACCCAAACCACTGGGCCACCCCGAAGTGTAACACCATTCTTTTTTTGGTTGACCTTGCAAGGTACAAACACTGGAGCATGATGTACAACAATAATGAAGCATAGATTGCTGTGACAAAATGATACACACTAGTGAAGATTTGCTACAAAGATAACAATATTATGAACTAAAATGGTAGTGAAAATTTCTATCTACGTATAATTAAAATACAAAAGTTCTTCCAAACTGTATTTGTATTCGATTTTCGACTTCAAATCATCCCTACAAATAAAACAGGAAAGTCGGAAGGTGAAGATTTATTAGGCTAACTGAGTAATTCATTGAGTTCAAATTCTGAATCCGTCTCTACGGAGAGGTCATTACCTATGCAGGAGTAAGTTGAGGAACTTCAACTAAGCGTTCCATCATTTGCAGCTGGTCATACGGAGCAATCTGTAACAACAAAAATAAATCGAAAAACAATAAGCACTTCAATAATTTCATTTTGAAATGACGGAGTTTGACTAGATATGAAGTTGAAGAAAATAAGAAAAGACTTTCCGCACATATCAAAAGTATGCTTAGAACATGTGGCGTTATACATGTCATGACATTTCCAGGGTAAAACGAGATGTTTAAGTAAAGAGTGTCGTATAAAATAGAAAAGTATGAGTATTTCATTAGTCACAAACAGCTCATTGATGCTAACAAATGCAACTTTATCTGAGTAACCTAGTTTTCGACTGATTTCTATTTTAGTACCCTCTGTTTCAATCTTGCGGTCTTACACATGTCATATGGAAAGTTGAAATTAAAGAGTTGACACGTAAACAAAATAAGTGAGTACAAAGACCTGGTTAAATCCGTCTGGCCAGGTTATTTCCACAGCATAGTTTCCCAAAGGCCGAATCTCTTCAGGTTCAATGTCATCTGGGATATCAGAGTATTGCAGTTTCTGTTCACCCGACCATTCGTCCTGAAGCAAAGCCAACGAAGAGAGAAAAAATCAAAATCCAGATGACTTCAAATGTTTTGTAATCATTGAGTAGAACAAGCACAGCAGAGTGACTTTTTCAAAGTTATCGTTTTTTCTCCGTAAAATCAGTTTTTTTTTGCTTTGCCTCATCGATAATTTTCTTGAGAAGTTTAGAGTCAGATGGTTAAGGTTGTCTAGAGCTACTACTTTACCCCTCTATACATTACAACAACTATATTACACCTCAATGCCAAGGAAGTTGTCAAGTTAGGGTCGGCTATATAAATCTTCACTAATCATATAGCTCCATTTAAGCTCATCTTTGACCAATATTATACAAAATGAGAAGTACTAAGAGTTCTCGGGACCAAAAGTCCTAGAGAAGTGAACTCAAGGGTTTGGCCTAGCGGTCAAGTAGGAACTCAGTAGAACACAGAACTGGCTCGATAATTGTGGTTTTTTGTGTTTAGTTTGGCGATGATAGCTACAATTATTGATAAATATATTGATTTTTTGTATGATTCAAATCTAGGCTCGTAAATTGATCCTTATATAAAATCAACTTGTGAGTTAGGCTGAACAAGAAGAGACGTTAACAAAGAGAAAGCATGGCGAAAAGAAGTTATGTATGCATTTGTAGAATGTATTATCATGTCATAAATAGTGCAGAACATGCATCTTTTCGAGCTGGAAAGTAACTTAAAGAACTTGACTGCGTACCACACTTTGGGCAGAACGATCATTTCTTCTTACAGTTGCAGGGTGCAAATAAAACTCTTCATCGGAATCAGGTACTTTGACCTTGATTGCCTTGAAAGATCTATCATAACTCACTGCAGTTGATACTGTACTCGAAGAATAAAAGGAGCAATCAATAATCGATGCATACAGGTCAAACTTTGGATAATGACTCCGACAAGTAGATTAAGAAATATTGGCAAGTGTATTCCCTATAGAATGAAGCTTGTTTCACTTGAGTACTTAATAAGAATTCTTGGATAAGAAAAAAAAACATATAAATGAAGTGTACCTTGTTGACGAATCTTGGCACACTGTTGTACTACACACACGCCTAACTCTTGGAACGTTCTGGAAACTTCACCTTGAGGATCAGCTACCACTTCAGGCATTCCGCTATCTCCAGAAGCAGATAGCTTTACAATTTGAAACAAAGTCCGCGTATTGTTCAGATATGCATGTTCAAGATTACAAGTAAAACAATAATGGATTATTGATGCTATTAGTTTTGATTATTGACAGAAGAGAACTAAAGAAAGACTCAAGTAGTGCAAATTGTGAATACTCAGATACTTGAATGAGTCAACAGTTATTATTGTTGCAACTCACAGCTGGTTGTATAGGGAGATCGAATAGATGGGGTATTCCGAACTGCTGGACAACCTGCAGAGATACAAATGAGATTTATGTAAACGTACTCTTCATCGGGTAATTGCAGGTTTAATGATAATGTCTCAAGGCATTGAGTATAATATCTAGATCCAAATTCATCACTAATCAAAAAGGTATTAGCTTCACTCCACTAGAATATCTGTGTAAACTGAAGACAACGATTTACTACTTAATGAAATCATTCCAAAATGCATAAATAGAGTTTCTTGATCTTAATACCATGGTAACCTTGGATAAAATCTGTTTTAGGGAAAATAAATTCTTAAAACTTTCAGGAAGGAGAAGCACACATCAATAGAACCTAAGAACAAGGCGGCATACCTGAGACCCTGAACCCCTGCCAAAGGGGTAGTAACGTTTTCCATCAGCATCGAAGTGGCACATGTTCTCAACTACGGCAACGCAAGGCACCTGAACGTGAAATGTATAATTAGAAGCAGCATGTCATCTTTTCAGCTCAGTAAGAAGAATTGGCTTTCTAATCATAGTGGAAGGGACAACACTTCAGATAACACAATAGAAACAGACCTTAAGCTTCGAGAACATACGGACACCCTTCGCAACATCAATAAATGCTAGCTTTTGAGGTGTAGTAACAATAACTGCAGCAGTCAAAGGAACAACCTGACAGTTGAATCAGCAAAAGCAGAATATATGAAAAATCATTTCCACCAAGGACGCTCACAAACATTGGCTCACATCAGTTGTATTCTATTAGGCAAACCTGGCATAGAGTGAGTTGAATATCACCAGTTCCAGGGGGCATGTCAATAACTAGATAGTCCAATTCTCCCCTGCATAGTTGCATACATTTAGGATAACAAAGTAATACAAGATCGCAAAATTTAGAGCATATACGTATCTTCAAGGATCATTTATAGTGATATCCAAAACAAACTTTTACGACTATATGCAAACCTACTTAAATAAGCTCTAATCCTCTAACACATTAATGCAATATATGTACTACACTTGCTTTTATCAAGATTAGTCATCTGATACCAACAAGCCAATAGATGGCACATTGCATCAAAAGTTGGAACATATCATATGTAGACAAAAAGTTAGACTAAAATAAATTTAATGTCTCCAGAGTAATAAATTTCAATGAACTTTAAAGAATTTCTCTGGTATAGAAATTTCAACAAAACGGCTTAAGTAAATTGGTTGTTGGTTCTTGATTTCTTGTCAAATGCAAAGCATATCATACCATTCTGTAGTAGTCAGCAGTTGGTTGATGACCCCAGAAACCATGGGACCTCGCATAATTGCACGCCCTTGCCCAGCAAATCCAAAAGATACCAACTTCACACCCATGTATTCAGTTGGAATGATGGTTCTTTTCTCTGCATTCTACAAAAGTCTCTTAGTGGTTTATATGCAGTAACAAAAAAATAGTTTAGTCCAGGAAATGACAGTTACCATTTCAAGTATCCGGTTTTCTGGGGACACCATAGTTGGCAAACTAGGACCATATACATCTGCATCAAATATACCTACTCTAGCTCCCATATCAGCCAAAGTGTAAGCTAGGTTGACAGCTACAGTTGATTTACCAACCCCTCCCTGTGGTTTATAAAGATCAATATTAATTAAGAAGAAGACACGAGATTTCAGATGCTAAACTGGTCAAAGCAGAAAAATTTCCACACAAGCAAGGTCGATGCAACAAGTCCTTGACTGTATGAAAACAAGAATCACGGAAAGCAATAACAGCGACATGAATGAGCAATAAATCACCAGCTAACATATTTAAACGTTGCGGTGTAACAAATCTTCAAATATTGCTTTTAGAGGAAAGCTATTTGCCCTTTTCTAACCTTTTTTTTTTTTGATTTGCTTTTGAGGACACAAATGTCATAGACCTAACTCAATCCCAAAAGCTAGCACGTGAGGAGATGATTGCCCCCAAGTCCATATTAAGCAAACAACCCCCAACCAATGTTGGACTGTAACCCACTCAAACACCCCTTAACTTCTACTCCCAACTGGAGCATGGACCGGGAGTCCATATGAATATACCACCGGTCCATTCCTCAATCAGTGTGGGACTGTAGTCCACTCTAACAAATACATACTAAAAGAAATGTTTAATGAGTTAAAAAGCATTTGAACTGAAGATTGTGGAATTCTTCACCTTGCAACTAGAAACAGCGATTATGTTGGAGATTGTTTGTAGCCCGGCGGGAAGCTGTCCAGCATAGATAGGTTTTGCTGGTTGAGCTGACATTGTCACATTGACCTTTTTAACCCAAGGAAGTTCAGCAACCACTTCATTAGCCTTCTGCTCAAACTATACCAAAAATTGAAAGTCAGATTTGTAGTCCTATCATACTTAGATGATCCACAAGACCACCCTCTTGTGATACCGAAGAGGATAAATTTGAAAGATAAGGATGCGTCCTAATCTCATGCTCCCTAATATATACACCCTCTATCCCAATTTATGTGGCACTGTTTGATTTGCCCCAGAGTTTAAGAAAAAAAGAAAGACTTAAGAAATATGTGGTCTAAAACACTCCTTGACTATTTTTGTGGCTATATATCATTCATTAAGTATAAAAGAGGAATTTCAAAGTTAAATGGTTTCCAATGAAAGAAAAGTAACACTCTTTTCTTTGGGAGGTACTAAAAAGGATAGTGTGTCACATAAATTGCGACAAAGGGAATAATAGTCCAACAATATGCAGTGATAAGGAAACTACGAAAACTGAATGATGTACCACTTCATATACACATCAATTCTTGATCAAATAGTGGTAGTTGTGTTTCATTTACCATGTCCTTGATTGGACATGCTGGTGTTGTAAGCTCTAACTGAAATGAAACCTGAAAATTCCAATAGATTGGATTAGGAGAATATTTCTCAAATATAATGTGAAGGTCAGAATGTACTGTTTTTAAGACCTCTCCCAAATTTTCATCAACCAGTAGGTCCTTCACAAATCCGCAAGAGACTATGTCAGTCCCGAAATCAGGATCAATTATCTGGGATAGGGCTTTAAGTACTTCAGAGTCGGCTGTTTGACCTGACACTGAAGGAGCACAAGCTGCAATTTCAAAGAGCAGCAAAGTAAACTGAACGATGTATAACAACATATGCATGGGAGGAAATTTTGAAGGAATTACTCAAGCATAATGAGAAATCCAGTTGAAAAAACGGTTGTACTCATGCACAAGAAACAAAGAAAAATGCTTCAAACAAAGCTGTATACATGACTTAAGTTCATAAGATGCAAATTAGGAGGATACCATAAGATGTCTCTTTGTATGTAGCTTTTGACAGAAGCAGAATAAATAGATACAACTCCTCCATATCAATATTTTTAAACTCGTTGAAAAGGAGAAAGAAATGTCTTCCTCTCCATTCATGATTCGACAGTCGAAGGTCTATGGCCATAATTTTAGACTATTTTCGCGCAGTGCCAGGACACACCCTCATCCAGAGGACATAAAACTACCTGGTCAAGCCAAAAAGGCTGCCGACTGAATGCTCCTATCTAATCATTTCTAGACCTTTATCTTACCTAAAACTTCCAGACCCACGTCTGCTAAGTTGCTCGGACTCTCCAAAAATGTTGTCACACCCGTGTAATCAAAAAGCTCAACCAATACCATATTGAATTGTGTGACCATCTCGTTAAAAAGCTAAATCCTTTTAAGTAGTACTAATACTTAAAAGTATTTGACAAATAAAACACTACAAAATTACCTCCATTTGAAGCAGCTTTAGCTGTAACTGAGCTCAATCTTGAACATGTATACGAAAAGTTCAAACCTTTCACTTGCCTTTGAGAGGACAAAAAACAAGAACCACTCAAAGTAGACTGAATAAAAGACTTCTCAGCTACATATAACCCTGTGTAATCAACAAACAAAACACAAAATTCAGCAAGAACCCAACTTGACCCAAACAGAAAAATGGGTATTTACTAAAATTCATTAAAAAAGTAATCTTTTTCAAAACCCCATTAAAACAAATGGTCCAAAACTCATATACTAAAACTGTGGCTACCTACCTGCTTTGGATTGTGAAGTACAATACTGATGAAATGTTAGAGTTGGAGAAGATGGAGCTTGAAGGAGTGTCATTTTCTTTTAGTTTTTCTGCTAATTGGAGCTATGGATGATGATGATGAAGAAGAAGACAGAGGGAAAAGTTCATTTGCATTAAATGTGAGCCTCAAGTTTTTTTCATGTTACGCTCAAAATCAAGAATCTAATCGTCTTAACTTACCTTAGCCACAACTCTTTTTAAGTCATCCAAAACGACAACCTCTTACTGTACATTATTCTGTTAGGAGTTATTTGAATCGAGAGTCTATTTAGAATACAAAATATGTTATTATTATTTATTTATCCATGTTAATAAAGGCGTATTTGGATAGAGAGGTGTGACTTCATATTTTTTTTCTCCCCAAATTATGTATAACATGCTTTCATTTGAAGTTTGTCAATACTGACTACCAAGTTAAATATTTAGGGAGAAAAAAAAACACTTGAAGAGAATAAAACTCTCTATTAGCCATTAAAAATTTAGTCCAAGGTCACAACCATAGCAGGCAGCAGCAAATATACAAATACATAGGAAAAAAGTCAAAAAATTTCTCTATTAGCCATTACTAACATTCCACATATAACTAACATAAGAGCATATATATACAGTACATCTAGCAACTGCTTGCACAATTGGCTAAATCGTCGATCGATCGGATGAGATAATGTGCTTAGAGAACTTTGATTTTTATCAACCATCATCATGCCCAATACTGTTGGGCTTATTTCATAAGCCATTGAGTGGAAGCAGCTGACAAATACCCTGCAGGTTGAAGAAGATATAAATGGATCAACATTGAAGGTAAACATAAGGAGTCAATCGATAGCTGGTTAGATTTATGCGGGAATTAAAAAATACAGAATTAGATACGAGAAAAATAATGTGAATGGATTAAGTTCTAAATTGAAAACCAATTAATTTGTACATGAATAACTTACTTCCTAACCGATTACCAGATGTGCTATTACTTACGCAACAATTAGTACCTGCATAATTCACTCCAAACCGGCTCCAAACGACCCCTAAGAAAATTATGTACTTACATTCTCATATCAAAACTACTATTTCATAAATAATCACAAAAGCATAACAGAAAGTTACCCAATATGTCAACTTGGCAAGCATTTTTCCTCTATCCCTTTTAGCTTGTCCTAAATATGTATTATCACATAATCGCGAGCACAGGAAACACGGCCAAAGAGCTAGGATGACGTAGTACTTAACAAGTGAGAGGGAAGTTGAAACACCGACGATAGACAGATGGACACTCGAAATGACTTAACCAAAAAGCTTATTAACAAGTTCTACAGCAACTTTGAATTCACCAAAAAGTTTAGATGGTCCATTAAACAAACAAAAATGGAAGGAATTTATATGTATATTTTACCTTTTCCTTCATACCATTTAGTAACCATTTGGAGTGTACAGCTTCTTGAGTTGCACAAATAAAGGAGCAATCATAACAAACAGGTAACTTACATTTCAATGATTCAAACACCACTTATGTCACCTATCACACTTGCAGCATAATATGAAAATGAGATATCAACAATTTCTAGAAAAAGTCAAGTCAAAATCCATGAAATTGTTATTTATTTTGCTTGTCGTCATGATTCTGTCCAGTGTCCGCTGTCCTTTATTTCCCTTTCTTCTTTTTTCCTCCCGGAAAGTTGTTCCGACTCCAATCTTAAGTTACTCAAATAAAAAGAGCACTTCACAAACTTTTACTCAGTAGTGCAAGTACTTCGGAAAGACCAAATGCTTAAAACAAGAAATCCCAACAATACAAATAAAGTAGTGTTGTGCAATGCTTTTAGCAGTCTACTCGTGTCAAACGAACATGTAGACCTTAGCAATTTTTTTGGAACTCGAGGAAATATTGAAGTATAATGAACAGGAACTTTCAAAGAAAATAAAGAACAAAAAAAGTAACTCATAATAGAAAAAAGATCATTAATCAGGAATGACTTCTCAAAAGCTAGTGTTCCAAAAGCCAACAAGAAAAATTCAAAATGATTCCTACCAAATATATTTAAGTACCCATATACTTCTAAGCAAGTAACATTAACAAAGATATTACTCATTAAGAAATCTCCATGAGCCTTTCACAAGGAAGATCTCTCAGCAAATCACCAGACCCTAAAGATCCTTTCTATTAAAAGATATATACAACCTGAAAATGTTACATTCTTTCGGAACACCAAAAGGACCATAAATTTGTGGTATTTATGTTTGTAACATAGCATGGCTCTATTTACAGAAAGTTAAGGCAAATACAGTTCAGAACTTGTCACCCAGAGAAACCACAAGATCGTTCGAACCAGAGTATAAAAAATACTCATTGACGTTCTTTGGATATATCCCTATAGGGGGGCATATTTGATCAACTCCTTGTGGGCCTCAGATGGTGTCAAGATCGCCTTTAGAAAGGATATACCAATTTTTGCAATTCATCACCAATATCAATATCAATATCAACATCCTTCCTCTATTTCCATCCAATTTAGTGACTTGATTAAAATAATTATGCAACATCTTTTTCGTGTTATATTAACTGACTTATCATTACATACTTCGTATGCTAGTGCAGTTTTAAGTTTAAACCAAACCCACCATATTGATGATTGAAATAATATCTATACATGTTGATCAATTGATAAGCTTCCTCACTATCCAATTTGTCTCCTTAAAACCTACAACTAATTGACAAGTTTTTTGGTTTGTTGCAGTGTTGTCATAGGCACGCCTATAACCCAAAAGTAAGGCTCAAGACGTGTTGAGTGCTTCACCTTAATGTGCATTTTAGTGTCGTCATCTAAGTTCTAAGGTATACTTTTCTTGCCAATAACCCTCTTTCGAAGAGGCAACACTAAACAATTGATATTTTCCTTGATCGTTAATTTTGTTGTCAATTTCTTTGTTCATATACTTTTCATTCATGCTTATTATTAGTTTTGGACTGATTTTATATATATATATATATATATATATATATATATGTATTTTTTCACCCTTTGTGTTTTTTTCATTAAAGCTCATGCTTTATTTGAGCTTAATACGTTTGTTGGAAGAGTTCACAGTGATGAGCCCCTATTCTTGGGAATTTCTTAAGTAAATTGAAGACCTCTTCTTTGATAAGTCTATTCTAAAGCACTGGAGTGGGTTTATAAAATGCAAGAGACTATTATCTCTAGCAAAAATTGAACTAATGACATCTTTGTCTCATATGCCACATTGTAAAACACGTGTGCAAAAATCCTTTTACAATTCTTGCTCAACATTCTCGAATATAGATCTTATGAACTCTAAGTTGTCTTTCACCGGCCTAATTTCTTCCTTTATTGAAGCAATTGACTGAGCTTCGAAATTAAGCAATTTTTTAAAGTTTTTGAGTAGAAGATTCATAGAGAGTGGTCTATCACTCATTGAGAAGCGGGACTTCTTACTATTCATAAATCTTCTAATCAAAAACTACAATAATTTGTTAAATTTCAAGCTTATTCAATTGTTTTTATAAAAGAAGAAATTGGGCTGATGAAAGAAGACCTAGAATTCATAAGATCTTTGTTCACGGATGTTGAGCAAGAATTATCTAGAGATCTTTAGACACGTGTTTTAGATGTGGCATATGAGGCAAAACATACTATTAGTTCAATTCTTGTTAAAGATAATGGTCTCTTACATTTTATTTACTCACTTTCCAATGCAACAAAAAAGGACCAAGCTTATCAAAAAAAGTCCATTTTACATGAGAAAACCGTAAGAATAGGGCCTCATTGTTGTAAAACTCTTCCAACAAATCAACATCAACTCATCATCAATAACTGGTCAAAAAATATTGCGTTTTCACAAGGAAGTGGATTGAGTAGTTAGGAAGCTTACCGATGGACCAGCATTACTAGATATCATTTCAATCATCGGTATGTTAGATTTAGGTAAAACTATTTTGGGATACAAAGAATATAATCAGTTATAAATCATTTCAACATTAGTACATGATGTACAGTTGACCAAGAATATAATAGAAAAAAGACGTTGCAGAAAGTTTTACTTAAGTCACTGTTTTGAACATGGAAATACAGTGAGGACATTGATGTGATGATGAGCAACTAAAAATCAATATATCCTGTACAGGATGGTCAACCAACAAGACCACTCAACACCACAAAATATTTCCAGAAGACGGACCTCTAATAAGCATTTACCCGGCTACTGCTAGATGCTACTGCTTAACTCACGTACTAACTTTTTCACTTTTATCCTTAGATGTAGCACAAGCATATAATAATTTGTTTTCTATCCTTTCTTCAATAGAAAACGTAGAGTTCTGATAGAACCAAAAGCAAAAATCAGCTCATCCCTAAAAAGCTAAAAATGGGGAACCGATAACAACTGTATCATTATTCACTACTCCATTAAGAAACATGGTAATATCTCCTACATGGAATAGGAAAGACACATACAGGATTCCAAGTCAGTGGAGTAAAATATACCCACTGACCCACCACTGCTAATGCTATAGTGCTTGTAACAGGGCTACCAACTTAGAGGGTACTTGGATTTGCTTTTTTAAAATAGCTTATAAGCTAAGAGCCATTAGTTGATCATACCCAACTTTAAGCTTATTTCTGTACTTTTTTGGCTCAAAAGTAAGTGCTTATGAGCATTTTTTATCTTTCCCAAACACTACAAAAAATAGAAAAAGAGCTTAATAGCCAAAAGCACTTAAAATAAGCCAATATAAACAGGCTCTTAGTATACATATATATGCTCTCAACTTGTTCAATTAAAAGTAAATATAATGTTCAAGCTGATGCCGGACTGCTACTACACTGTTAAAGAGTACCAAAAGCATCGAAACTGAGACCCAATACTTCTTCTCTTCCATTCTACAATACACTATTTGACCAAACACAAGTTTAGAAAGTGAAAAAATACTATAGAACATCAACTAAATATCACACAACACCAGAATTACCACTAAAATCTTATGCTCTTCAACAATCATGTCACTTTCAAACAAACAGCAAAATGAAAAAGTTATAATTAAAGAGTCACCAAACATACTAAAGTCTCAATCTTTTGAATGACGAAGTTGAAAAAGATACCAAACATACTAAAGTCTCAAATCTTTTGAACGACGAAGTTGAAAAAGTTACCAAACATACTAAAGTCTCAATATTTTGATTAACAAAGTTGAAAAAG